TGAATTAGCAAATGTAGTTCCTAAATAAATCCTGATTTTACACTGTGCCAAAGTCCATGTTTCAGCTTAAGTCCTGTATGCCTATTTAATTTTGCCAAAGGAAGAATGATAGCTAAATGTAGATCTTAATTAATCAAAAGCTCATTATTTGTGTTGTGCTGTTCCTTATTGCATATGTACTGTTAGAAAATTATATCCATTGCAAGATTACTGAAATTTCTCATCAAAAAAAAAGAAAGAAAAGGAAAGAAAAGAAAAAGAAAGCAAATGAAACTGAGCTTTCAATGTGCTTTTAAATAGCAGTAATCAGAGCTGCTAGATTAAGATTCTATTTTGAAAATTAATTCTGTATGCTTTGTGAATTACAGTTTGTTTCTGTTTCTTTTTATTTTTTAACAAGAATCTAGATACCAATAGTTCTCTATATTGATTTGCATCTTTTAGATTTTGAAAATTATTTATTACTGCAATTCATAATATTTTTACTGAAATTCAAAGAAATGAACTTTGATGACTATAATCCCCATCTTACTTAAATTCCTTAAATACTTAATTATTGTTATAATTTTATTGATTACAAAGAAAACTGTCCAATTCTTTGGAAATGTTTTTTCCCCCACAAAATGTTTAAATGTATGCCATGTTGCCAAACCATTATTATTTCATGATATAAATAATAGGATTGATTACAGTGTGTTTCCCTTAAAAAAGCAAGCATTTAAAAAGTAGGGAGTGTAGGCACATTTTATTATAATGAAGCTCGATAATTCCCATTATTACAGAAATTGGAAACCATGATTACGAAGCAAATATGTCATGTGTAATTACAATCATAGCCATTATAGGGAGTAAAAGCACAGGGAAATTATTTTTATATTGATAATTTGAAAACTATTTCTCATACAGAAAAAGAGAAGAAATATTGCTGTAATAATCTGCCTGGATGCTCACCAAGTCTTCTGAAGGTGACACAAGTGGGCTGCTGACTCCTTGTAAGAGGGCAGTGTTTAAAGAAGAGCAGGAAATCCTTTACCCCAGTTTTAATCCATTTTCTGGATATACAGTTTCTATTGGGAATTAAGCCCTCCTATTGGTGTCTGGCCCTACCTCTGCCAGACACATCAACTGTATATTTGCCACCATTTCTCTCATCATAGAAATCTCATTTTAATGTGGGGTTAGACAGTCAAGTTCGAATGCCAGGAACCCTTCTTATAGTGGACTGTTCATAGTAGGTTTTCCTCTGTTATTTTACTATAGGACCTCAGCAACCTGGTCCCTATATGCCAGAAATGCTAATGCCTGGAGTCTCAATCCTCAGTCAAACTCCAACAAGGAGGTACTTGGGACTGGAAGCTCCAGGATCTGCTGGAACGAGAGCTTAGGTTTTATATAGATAGCTCCTGATTTGCAGTAGTGGGACTTGTGACCTTTTGACTTCATAATGGTGCAAAATGAGAAGCTTTCAGTAGAAAACTGTACTTCAGAATTTTTGAGGCTTTTTTGTCTTTTTTTTTTTAGCCACATAGTAATTACTGTCTGTACTTTTCTTTTGAAATGCTAAGCAGGTGTACCAATGCCCAAGTCCCAGTCAACTATGTGATCATGAAAGTAAACAAATAATCTGTCCAGTGAACTGTGCTCCTAATTTACTGTGTGCCTTTTGGTAGGGTAGCAGAATTAAGCTCACTTTTTGGTGTTATGAGACTCTGAGTCCCTGAGTTTTACCACGTGGATCATACCGTTTTACTCGCAGGTCTTTTTGTTTTAGTTTATTTTTCAGATAGGATTTTGGGCTTTCTGATTAGGTCAGCCATGGATCATAATCCTCCTACTTAAATTTCTAGAATAGCTCAGATTACAGATATGTACCAGCATCCCAGATGGATTTTGAGATGAGACCTTACTAACATTTTGCCTAAGCTGTCTATGAACTATGATTTTCCCATTTCTTGTCTCCCATATCTGTAACTACAGGCATGAGACTCTGACTGGCCCTTTACACACATTAGTTACTAACCATCTTTTCCATTTCTGATGAGTTTATTTGGGATACAATGTCTTTATAAGTAGAGGAGCATCTCTGTGCATGGGCATCTGATTGATTAGGACATTACCATTTCCATGAGGATAGAGACAAACTCTATGGAATTGAGTACAATGTAAAGGAAATAAATACAAGTCCTAATTCTGGTTTGGATTTTAATAAATGAAATCTATCCTCTAGAACTGTGCTTGTTTGTACTGCCCTAAACCTAGCTGTCATTCCTGAGGCAAAAGTATATAGATACTTGAATGCTCTAACCTTTGCCTTCTCTGGCATTGTAGAATTGTAGTGGTTTGGTGTGGTAAATTATTCCATCCCAGTGTTCTGTGAATTCAGACAGGAAAACTGGCTGTCATCACCACAAATTTCTTCCCCTTCTTGATATAGTTATAGCTTATTTTGATATTTATATAAGCAAAATGCAAGAAGTTTAACCATCTGTGTAAAACTATTGGGTTTCATGTTGATTAAACTTTGTGGGTTGTTCTACATTTGGGGTTTTCTTCAGCTCTTAACAATAAACTTTGAATTGTCTATACATTGTGAATGCATTTTAACTTTTGTAGACCTGTTGGCTGTTTGAAGTTAATTATAACATTTGTCAATGGGGAGGATACTCAAGAGTAATTCATCTAAATTTTGGATTAATAATTAACACACTGAATAAAATGGGATTAAAAATAATCATAGGATTTTGAATAATTAGCAATTTTAACAGGAGTTTTAATAAAGTTTGCATATTTTCCCTTTGGTGTGCCCTTCTTTTTTATTTTTATTTTTTATTTATTTTTACTAACATATTTAGCTTATTCTTTTGTTTGTGTAATGGGAAAGCTCTAGCTATTGATTTGCAATCTTCTTTTCTAATGTAGGCCTATTGAGAGTTATCTTTGTGCCTTTGAAAACTGTTCATCCTGCAGTTTATAATTCTCATATGCTAGGCTTTCATTTTCATTTTCTTCCACATTTCTGCTTGTAATTGCCCAATATTTTAGAACTTCACAAATCCTTTGCTGTTCTTTGTCCTTTTCAAGAAAAGGAAAGAAGGAATGAGGGAAGCAAGCAAGGTAAGCAAGCTGTAAAAGTAGATTTACTTAGCATTTCTGTAGCTGTTAGGTTCTTGGTCCTTAAAGGAGAGGTGATATAACTTGAAGAAGTCAAAATTCGTTTTCCTAAGTAACTGTTACCGTGGTATGGAATTCAAAAATAGAAAAATACACAAAGAGATTTGAGAGTATCACAGAGCTATGATTGATCCTGTCTGTGGTGAAGTGGGTCTGATAATATCAGAGATTAAGTCATTAGCTATACTTAGATATCAGAACGTATTTTTTAAAAGAAAAAAAAACGATTTAATGAGTGATGATATTTGTAGGCTAGGCTGTATTGTACTTACCCGTGCTTCTACCTATGCTTCCTCAGATATGTAATCATTTTTAAGGTGACAAATGCCCATTCTCCCAAAATGAGGGGAAAAAATAACTCACACAGTGGATATTTCGTTAATGCAAATGCTTTGTTTGTTGGAGCAATGGCTGTTTAGTGCAATTCAAACAGTTTGGGGTTTTTTTTAGCTTTTTTTTTTTTTAATTTGCCTACATACACAGTGGGATAGGGCATCCAGGAAACACAATAATTGTCCTTGTGGTGTAAAACCTGCTGATTGATTAATATGTGCATACTACTCACTAGAGAAAATGCAGTGGATTCCCTTTCTTTGATATGCTGAAAACCTCCAAATATAATATCTTCACCAGTGAATAATTTCCAATATTTTTTTTCATATTATATTGTAGTATATCTGATTTTTTCATATTATATTGTAGTATATCTGATTTTAATCAATAGTGATATTATGAAGCAGAATTCAATTTCAATTTTGTACTATTGACTTTCTGCTTCTTATTTAATTGTTTAACCATTTCAGGCACGATGTTAGAATAGATAATAGTATCACAGTTTGGTATGTACGTATTTATTTAATGTTCTCTTAAAGCAAATGATACTATATCCAGTGTATCCGGGTAATTAATAGAATAATAATTAATGGAATAATGATTTGCATCAAGTTTTAAATAGAAAATTCAAATATTGATATCACCTATTGTAGAGAATATTAAAATCCCAAAGAAAATTCTGGAATTTGACTATTGCTTTAATAACAAAAATAGATGAATGAAAAGAGGAAGTGGGGGAGAATGCAGTCACAATATTCAATGCATATTCATTGAAACTAGAAATATTGAGGGAAGGGGTTTGGTTTGGAGAGATGGGTGAGAATGATGGAGTGATATCGATCAAAATATATTGCACTCATAAACTGCCATGTTAAATGGTAACCCCTTTGTACACTATTAAAGATGATAAAATATAATTTAAAAAGAAGTAGAACAATATTCTGACAATATAAAGAAAAAATCACATTCTGTAAACCAAGGGTTCAAGTGAACTCATTTTGCATACTTCTATTTTTAATTTTATTAAAAATTCATTTACATTTAAAATTTTAAATCCTAGTCACCTTTATATGTAAATAAATGTATATAGTGCCTATTGTGTTTTGTGTGTGTATGTGAATATATGTGTGTGTATATATATATATATATATATATCTTATTGATGAAACTCATCTAAACATTTTAGCTAGAAGAGCTTGTTATTAGAAATCAGGTAGTTCTTAGAAATCTCAACATGTATTTTAAAATTGTGTGTGTGTGTGTGTGTGTGTGTGTGTGTGTGTGTGTGTGTGTGTGTGTCCTTTTGAAGGAAATACATAAATTCTATACCTAACAGACTCAGCAACATTAGCAGTGAACTCGGTGTGAGAGGATGTATCACATATACTACTGTTGTGCTTCCAAGCATTCGGGAAATAGACTGCCTTCTACCTTCTACATCATAAAACAAAGTATGTGTTTTCTCATCTAATGGAACTTTTTTTTTTCTTTTACAGAAATGTTTAACTTGATAAACTGGAGGGAAAAACCATGGATATTTTTAGCAACTGAAGAGCAAATAAAGGTATTTGATAGATTAGTGTTACAAATTATGCTTATTAATTTCCAGATGTTTCTTATTATTTTCATGTTTAAATTAATATATCTTTTATGAGTTTTTATCATCTTGAAAATGTAGCATACCTTGAAGTATAATTCTGTATGCTCTTAGGAAATATTTTTCCATTTTTCATGTATTTGGGGGAAATAAATTCACAAACCTTCTCAACAAATTATGAATGATAGAGTTGAACATATTTGTTTTTGTAAGGAAATATAATGTAGTTATAACAAAATAAATGGCTGGAATAGTTTCAGTAACTATTTACCTCTGAATGACACAGCATGCGAATGGCAAATGTGTTGCTTTACTTTTATAAATTACATAAAGTAAATATACTGAGATTTTTCAATTGATGATTGGGTGACAGTGTAATTGATGTTAATTTTTTCTGCTCTTATTTTCATATCTACAATTGTGCATATGAATATTAGTAAATAAAATGCATCATATACCAGCAAAATGTTTAATATAAAGATTATTTTGAGAATTTCAAATTCTGCTAGTCACACATTTATGTACAGAATATACTAGAGAAGGTTTTAAAGAGTTTAATCCTATAGCAGTCCAAACTTTTTTCCTCAGTAAATAATAGGAGGCAAGTAGTTGATAATATTATTCAATCCTCAGTAGAATTGGAATTTCTTATTTGTCTTTAAAATTGAAGAATATTGGCTATTATTCCTAATATTAAAATGGGGTTTTACTTTTCCTTTCTTTTCTTTTAATTTTTTATCTATGTAAAAATTCACCTTTTTTAAAGTCAATTGTGGAGCTTGAACTCAGGGCCTGGGCACTGTCCCTGAGCCTCTTTGTGCTCAAGGCTAGTGCTCTACTACTTGAACCACAGTACTACTTCTGGTTTTTGAGGGGTTAATTGTATATAAGAGTCTCAGGGACTTTTCTGCCAAGGCTGGCTTTGAATCACAATCCTCAGATCTCAGCATCCTGAGTATCAAGGATTACAGTTGTGAGCCACCACCTTATATCCAGTTTCCACTACTTCCCATAGCTCCCTGACCTCATACATTGGCAGCCTCTAACAGATCTTCTGTCTCTGAGGGTTTGCCACAAGATGCATCATGTCCTGTACCACATTTTGAAGCTGCTTTTTCACTTAGCATAATGTTTTTAAGTTTCACCCTATTATGGTAGGAATGACAAATTCATTTCTTGTGGTAGCTGACTCATCTTCCACTATATGGGTATACAAATTTCATTTTTTCATTCTTTACTAGTTTTTTCCTTTTATACTACAGTAGCTATTATAATTAATGAAGAGTGGGACACTTGCCTAGAAATATAGACTACTTCTAATCTAGAATAGAATATAGAATGTACATCACCTACATAGACTACCCTCATGATCCTTTGTAGTCTTCTCCTCAATTCACATTTAGCACTTGGAACCTCTAGACCCACTTTAATAATAAAATACTACTAGACAAAGAAACAAACATACACACATAAAACAACAACAACAAAAGAAAAAAAAACAACTGAGAGCACTGCAAAAACCGAATTGTTTGGAGGCATACTCTAGAACCTCTTGATTATCATCCTCTCTGGTTCTGTTTCCTTGTGTATAACCCAGCATAACTAAATTTGCTGCTACATGGAATTTTGAATAAGATTAGGCAGATATTAGGCACTGTATAAATAAACTACCACTTTTGAACCTGGGAAGGAAGATGCCATGGAGGTTTCCTTTCTGTAGTAAATGATGCATTCCAATGTACTTAAGCTGAAACATCAACCCTAGTTTTCAGAATGATAAAGTCTATTGAGGATCGTGGTTCTCATAATTCCTTTCTTCCGATTGGTAGGCAGATATCATTGGAGTGTTTCTTCCTCATATGCGACGCATCTATACTTATATGCTATCTAGCTACTTTTAAAATCCACTTAGTCTTATTTCATCTAAACCACAGCTCCCTTCTGCCTGGATAATCAACTCCCTCCTGGTTTCACCATGAAGCCACCACATTGTTGCTCTTCACCCTTCTATGCACTGTGAGAGCTGCCCTGGCTTTATCTCTGTGTACTTAGACCGTTGTCCCTAAGATGCACAGCAGTGTTGTTCCCTCCTCCCATAATAGTATCTTCAGCTATTCCCATGAATTTTTCAGTAGATTCTGAACACTTTCTTCTCATCTGTTTTTTCTACATGTGCTGTTTAAAGTGTAAACTTCCTGAGCGTTCTTTCTGTCCCCACCTTCTGTTCTATTTCTCTCCAGAATATATAACACAACATTATACATAACTTTGCTATCACCTCTTAAAGTTGGTTTGATAGGTTACAAATATTTCCTCTTTATAGCATCCTTTTTACTTTGGTGTATAAAAATACTTGCAGTAGATTGGTTGAGGTATAATGGGATTCTAGTTCAAGGCATCAGTAGTGAGTTTGAGAAGTAGTAACACATTGGAGACTATTTAAATGTTAAAATTGATTGCATTTGAACGATTAGAGAAAAGTTGAAATCAGGTATGAGCTTCAGGATTCGAATTGTTGCTGTGGTTCCAATGGCTGAGCTGAGTATGTAGGATGGTTCTATGTTTTTTTTAACTATTATATACATTCATGTGCTTATGTAAGCAATATATCCTTATATGTAAATGTCTATATGTAAGTAGGATGGTTCTGTGTTTCTCTATTTAATACATTCCTATACTTATATAAGCAATATATCCTTACATGTAAATTTCTACATGTAAATATTTAACATAAGTATAGGACATATTTATATATTATTTTATAGATATGTTTTATATTTACTTTATAAAGCTTATTTTATTTAAATTTAATGTGTTACATACAAATTTCATTACATATTTTATATATATTTATAAATGTAATAGTCAAATGTTTTATAGAAACAGTAATATTTGTTTTGTTTTAAAGAAATACAACATCTAGCCAGGCACTAGTGGCTCATGCCTGTAACCACTCAGGAGGCTGAGATCTGGGGATCAGTTTTCAAAGCTAGCCAAGTGGAAAAGTCCCTGTAAGACTCTTATTTCCAATTAATCACTCAACAACTGTAACTAGAGCTTTGGCTCAAAGTGGTAGGGCACAAGACTTGAACAAAAGAACCTGGGACAGTGTCCAGGCCAAGTTCAAGCTCCACAATCAACGAAAAAGAAAGGAAGACAGAAATGCAACATCCAGCCTTACTTTCTTATCTCTAAGTGGAAATAATTTCTGCAAATATAAACTGAAGGTCATTAGCTGTCTCTATTTTTCTAACTTCTTTGCTTATAGATTTTTATAAAAGTTTCATTTGTATGCAATTATATTCGAATTAAGTTCCAAACCACACTGATAAAGTACAGGATGTAAAAACTGGCCATGAGCAGAGTAACAGCACATTAATTATTCAGACATTCATTCCTACTTATTCCATTCTTGGAGATAGAGTAGCTGTCACAGTCTGTCAGCTGTGTAGCTGGTGCCCTTCAGGATTTACGTGCATAAATGCTAACTTTGGGAAATCTGCATAAAGATAAGCCTGACATGGAAATGATAGCCGCCTGTCATAGAAGAAGGGCTAAAATTGTCCACCACTCTCTATCCCACAGACCTGGTCAAACAGCAGTGACTAGGAAGTGGAATGCATACAAAATAAGAAAAATGTTTTGCATCTCCCTCAACCAAAAGCCAACCCATTTAAGCATAGTTATTTTGGCAAAAGTTTATGAAGTATTCAATAATCACTCTACATCCTACTGTCAGTGTTTTATTATATTTTGTCTCTAAATGTTTCTGTTTACTTTTTTCAAATAAGTTCAGCTTATGATTACATTTCAAATTACTAAATTAGTGTAACTTCAATACTCTTGGTGATAACATCTATTATTTTTATGTAATTATTTTGGGAAAAATCTTAGATTAACAGCTGCCTGGTGAAATTTTTATGTTGTGTTTCTTCACTTCTTTATCTTAAAATGTCTGCTGCTAGCTTTAAGCTCCACATCTAAAATAATGTCAGGTTCATTCATTCAAAAAAAAAAACAAAACAAAGCACTGCTCAATTCTGCCTGTAGTTAGTATTCTTTGCAGTGAAATTATGGTGAATAAATTCAGATCTGGTCTGAACTATAAATATTTACAGATGACTATTTTGTGTCACAGATAAAAAACAGTACATTGCCAGCTATTGTTAAAAAAAAAACTTGTTGAAGGGAATTTCTTCCTGTGCTCTCATTAAACAAAGACACATACATTTTTCTTTGTGCTAATAGATTTCAAATTATGTACTGTAAAATTAGATGCATTTTGAGATGCATTTATACCTGTGGAAACAAAATTATTTTCTATCTTCTATACTTATCAATATTTGTTAATACATTGTCTCTCCATAAAATTTCATGAATTTTATGAACTGTATCAAATTATGTTTAATTATCACAAATGGTATTCTAGCCATTTTATTATATCAAAAAGTTTCCTAATGCTTCTTTGGTATCAGAGCCTCTATTTGCCCCTAACTCTTAGCACATCCAGAGCCATTCTCAATTTTGATCTTTGTTTTAGAAAGCCACATAAACAAATCACAGAGTTTATAACTTTTTGGGCTGATAACATTTACTCAGAATACTTACCTTCATTCTGAACAATAATAAAATTTTGAGTTAAAACAACTGAAGGGAGAATTTTAGGACAGATCAAGAGGAACATTTTATTGCATTTAAATAGTAGAAACTTAAACATGAATGGTTGTGCTATTGTTTCAAAGAGGATGTCCAAGTTGTGCAAGAATCTTATGTTGGAAGGGAGGACTAGTGATTAAGTAAATATATTGCAGGTCCTAGTTATAGACTACCTAGCCTACAATTTATTACCTACACATGTGGCTTGAGTGAATATCATTTACAATTGTGGTTCCCTTAGGAAGAGGCCTGGGTCAGGATATCCTTCAGTGTAGGCCTACTCTTGTAATTACCTTGCTGTGAGACCCAGG